TCATGCTGAGGTTTGACAGAAAACATCAAAATTCTGTAAAGCAATTATCCTTCAATTAAAAAATAAATTATATTTTTTAAAAAGTCTACAAATAACAAATGCTGGCAAGGATGTGGAGAAAAGGGATTCCTCATACACTGTTGATGGAGTGTACGAGGTGTAGGCCCTGGGAAGTATGGGGTTTCTCGAAAAAGTAAAAGTAGAACTGTCATATAATCTAGCATTTCTACTGCTATAAAACAAAATACTAATTCAAAAAGATACATACACCCCAGTGTTCATAACAGTATTAGTACAATAGCCAAGACATGGAAGCAATCTAAGTGTCCATCAACAGATGAATGAAGATAGATAGATGATAGATAGATAGATAGATAGATAGATGATATATAGATAGATAAACTCATATATTTATAAATCATAAGAATTAAACTCTGTCCTTTGCAACAACATGGATGGACCTGGGGGCCTCCCAGGTGGCGCTAGTGGTAAGGAACCCATCTGCCAATGCAGGAGGTATTAGAGATGTGCATTTGATCCCCAGGTCTGGAAGATCCCCTGGAAGAGGGCATGGCAATTCACAGCAGTGTTCTTGCCTGGAGAATCCCACGGACAGAGGATCCTGGTGGGCTACATTCCATAGGGTCTCAAATAGTCACACACTCCTGAGTGACTTAACACGTGCATACACACATGTACCTAAAGGGTATTATGCCATACAGAGAAAGACAAGTACTGTATATTAGCACTTATATGTGGAATCTAAAAAATAAAATAAACAAATATATTAATATATAACAAAACAGAAACAGACTTACAGATATGGAGAACAAACTAGTGGTGATCAGTAGGGAAAAGGAAGGAGGGAGGTGCAAGATCAGATAAGTCAGTTCAGTCACTCAGTTGTGTCTGACTCTTTGCGACCCCATGGACTGCAGCACACTAGGCCTCCCTGTTCATCACCTACTCCTGGAGTTTACTCAAACTCACATCCATTGAGTCGGTGATGCCATCCAACCATCTCATCCTCTGTCATCCCCTTCTCCTCCTGCCTTCAATCTTTCTCAGTATCAGGGTCTTTTCCAATGAGTCAGTTCTTCACATCAGGTGGCCCAAGTATTGGAGTCTCAGCTTCAGCATCAGTCCTTTAGATGAATATTTAGGACCGATTTCCTTTAGGATGGACTGGTTGGATCTTGCATTCCAAAGGACTCTCTAGAGTCTTCTTCAATACCAAAGTTCAAAAGCATCAATTCTCTGCCCCTCAGTTCTCTTTATGGTCCAATTCTTACATCCATACATGACTACTGGAAAAACCACAGCTTTGACTATATGGACCTTTGTTGGCAAAGTAATGTCTCTGCTTTTTAATATGCTGTCTAGGTTGGTCATAGCTTTTCTTCCAAGGAGCAAGCGTCCTTTAATTTCATGACTACAATCGCCATCTGCAGTGATTTTGGGGCCCAAAAAGGTGCAGCTGGTAATTAAGAGAAAGAAACTACTATGTGTAAAATAAATAAGCAACAAGTACGTATTGCACAGCACAAGGAAATATAACCATTATTATGTAATAACTAAGTAAAATATTCATATCTATATATAATCTATAAACATATTGAATCCTGTGTTCTACACTTAAGACTAATATAATATTGTAAATGAACTATACTTCAATTTAAAAAAGAGAAAAAAGAATAAAAGTAGTTTACATTCTCAAGTCGGTAATTAGTTAATATGTGAAATGGTTTTGTTTTCCAAAAGAAATACTGCTATGTAAATAAAATATAAGGAGAATGAAAAGAAATGAAAAAACCAAAATATAAGCACTCTAGCAAATTCTTTGTCATGATTTTTGGTTTTGCATAAAAGGAAAATATATTATGTGAACGGTTAAGAAGCAAATGAGCAATCCAAGGAGTATACACAAGGGCCCTTGTAGGAATAACTAATGAAAGTAAACCAACTCCACATTTCATAGAAGTTTGCTAAGAGAAATGAAAAACAGTTCAATATGTCACATGAATGCATTTCTATAGCCCCAATAATTTGGAATATTATTTGAAAAGCTTATGTCTTTTCCAAGTAGTAAATGTCAACAAGTTTAAATAATGAGGACCATCCTGAATTATACTAAGCACTGCCACTGATAGTACTCTGTTGAGTGCAAATGAAAAAGGAAAATAATAAAACAGGGTATATTTAAATTTGGCCAAGTAAACCATGGTAATTATTGTAATTAAATTGTCAATAGATTTACAGTATTTTATGTTCTCTCAATATCAGCTTTACTGATAAAGGAAGTGTTGAATGCTATTAAGCATTTATGGAAAGCAGATGTAATCATTTTTAAATGGTGATCTCATTCTGAAAAAAAATCAATGGCTACCTGTAATGACCTTAATTAAGTCACAAATATTAGGAAATATACAAATGTAGAATTAGAAAGCACTTCATATAACATGAAAGTCAAGATTGTTCTTTTTTAGATCAAGATATGTTTAATTCTTAATATATTCATGGTTTCAAAGGAAGAAAATGAAAATAATCTGCATATATATTTGCTATTAATTGATAATTTTGCTGCTGATAAAACTATGAAGTTTTTCTGTGAAATGCTCTGGAGAGCATAATACTACAAATTTTCTTCAGCTTCTCATTTTAACCATGGGAGGTATTACACAGACTTCTGCAAGATCAACACAAACATATAATCTTTCTTTAATAATTTGTCTGTAATTTGTATACCAGAGATAATTTGTAGGCCCAGTTGCAAGGACAGTATTGTCAGGGTAAAGCTAAGAGTTGAACCTGGTGGTAGCTTTCCAAGGTATCTTTCTGAACTACCACACCAACGAATAGAATCTGTATCACACATCCTCAAAACCGATTTCATTTTCCTATCACTGTAGTTTGTTATCTTACAGGTAATATGAAAAGGCTCTTCTAGAATTACAGTACCTGGGATTGTCTCCAAAGACAGCCTCACGTTTCTGTAACCTGGAGTCTCTCTTTCAAGTTCAATTGTCTCTAGCATTGCCATTTCACCCAGATTTCTTTTCTATACTATATCCAACTTTCCCATTTCTGCTAGTCCTCTAATAGGAGCAGATTTTTCTGAAAATTCCTGCTTGAGCTGAAGGTGATATAAATATTGGAGTCCTTCAATTGACTGCAAAAATGTTCTTGTTCCAAAGGCACATTCATATTCTCCAGCCTGATTGACAGTATTTAATTCTACCACAATGTACATTTCAGATGGCTCTAAGGAAACCTTTTGTATAAAGATAGTTGAAGATGAAATATTCTGAATATGATTTTGAAAAAATAAGTCACTCATCTCTGAATCGTAAAACTTAGTTTTAACTTCAAATGGTAAAAAGAATGAAAATAAACACAGTTTTCTTAAAAACATATTTCCTCCCCACTATTGAATAGATACTGAACCCACAGGAGCGAATCTTCCAATGTCTGTTACTTTGTCATGGATAACGTCAACACAAAAATTGGATGCAAGTTCTTCCACAGTAGCCAGGGAGACCAAACAGTGTAAAGGTTGAATATTTGTCTGAAGGCTAGTGTTTGTAATATGAGCTTTACAACTTAATTGAAATTTCTGGGAATTCTCACATAAGTAGAATTATTTATCCTCTCAAAACATAGTTCTAAGGATTTATGATGAATTCAACGTTTCCCCCATTTATTGACATTGCTGGTAGAGGGTCACCTGTCATGAGTTAGAGAAATTACCAGGTAAGTTATTATCTTCACATGTGATTGAAAAGTTGGTGAACAAATTGTGGTTAATAGACAGAATCATTTTGAATGTCAGAAAGATCTCCTGTAGGGATGAATTGCTTTCCATTTGACCACAATTTTGCCCCAATGTCTTAAAAAGCAACTGGGATTTTGTTTTAATCAGGTATGGCAGGATGACAGACACAGAGACAACTGCTCTTGAAAGAATGGTTTATTACTTTTGACCTAAAATAGACTTTCAGTTATTACTCCAGGCAAAATGTGTTTATTTAGGATCAGCAAAGAGTTGTCATTTGAGATCTGTGGCCATAGTGAGTCATGCACAAGTTCCCACACAGAAAGGAAAGGAGAACATTTTAATAGAAGGGGAAAGGAAATTTGGAGGGTTACAGTAAACAAAGTTCATATTTTCTTATGGGCTGAATTGTTGCCAGGAAAGAAGATATCTTCCTTCCTGTCATTCAACTTTCCTTCCATTGTAGGGCACAATTCCCCCTTCTGGGCTATCAACTTTATTTAATTGAGGTTTCTGTTTCTTTTTTTTTTTCTTTTTAATATATGTATTTATTTAAGCTTTTCTTTTCCTGGTTATTTTAACTGAAGTATAGTTGATTTACAACGTTGTGCTCAAGTGGGATAGGAAGGAAAAGAGAAAGTGCTTCTGGGGATGTTATCAATATTTGCAATGTCATATTAATGCTGTAAACACTGCATATATCTTGTTTGTATGTTTGAGGGAGGCCTGTGTGAGTGTTGGTGTAACTTTTACTGAGGAGTCTCAAATGAATACAGATACTCCAGGAAAATTTTCACTTATGGTATGCCAAATCTTCCCTTTCCTGTCACTTTAAAACACTTTCAACGACTTCATAAGTTTCCTCTCTCTTTTGAGTTTAAAAAATTGTCCAGAACTGGTTATAAGAAAAGAATAAAATGAATGAAAAAGTCAGGTGAACCATCCCGTAGATAGCAATTATGCAATCTGGAAAAGAATATAAGAAAACAAATATTTAAAAGTACTTGAAAGCATCCAAAAGCAGGCAGAGGTCAAGGAGAGTTTACTTTTGGAAAACAGCAATGGAGAAGGGGTAAGAGTTGAGACTTTATGGTTTTCTCTTTTTTTAATCATTCGAAGAAAAGACATATTTTATTAATCCTCAAGTTCCTTAGAAGATTAATAATAAAAGCTTAGTACATATTATCAACAAGTCCAACTGTGGGGGCCACAGAAAACTCAAATGAGTTTAAGGTGAGTTTGCTTCTTTTTCATCTGATTCATCATCCATAACCTGTTCTATGCCTTCTACTTCTAGAATATAAAACTGCAGCATGTTCTGAATTCCATTTTTCAGAGTAACAATTGAACTGGGGCAGCTGGTACAAGAATCTTGATGTTTCCGCTGTATGATGCCGTCTTCAAAGCCTTTATAGATTACATCTCCTCCATCTTCCTGCACAGTTGGCTGTATTCTAGTATCTAACAATTCCTTAATCATTGCCACAACTTCATCATCATCTTTAGATCCTGCTTCTTCTAAAGGTGTTTCCTCAGTAACTAAAGGTAAGCCAGATGCAAAGAATCCATAATTGAAGCATAGATATCTGGTTTCAGTAAATTCCAGTCTAATTCTTCATTTTCCTTTGTGAAAGTGATTAAATCTTGCCCAAAAAAAGACACTATTTACTCCCTCAATCCTAAATAACTGCCTAGCCAGAGGGGCGCGAAATGCTGTAGCTGGTGTGGGAAAATCCATGGTCCTTGTCTCAAGAACTGGTTTTCCTGTAATAAACTTTACACTGTTGGGATTTGGGGTACCTTGTGTTTGAACATACATGTATCTCACTATGTTACATAAGGTTGCAAGGAGTGGGAAAAGCGGTCTCTGGGAAAACTGAGACAGAAACTGTTTTTCTTAATGGATTTATCACATCACAAAACAACACATGGCAGTGGCAGCAGCTCCCCAGCCCAGGCTGGCCACTGCTGCCATCTTAGTCCGAGTGTGCAGGCGTAGGACAGGCTGCTCCCCCATCCCCCACTCCCCTGCCTTCCAAGTCTATGGTTTTCTTATTGTAGTGTTATTGGCTCAGTCATGTCCGACTCTTTGCAATCCCATGGATTGTAGCCTGCCAGGCTCCTCTGTCCATGGGATGCTCCAGACAAGAATACTGGAAAGGGTAGCCATTCCTTTCTCCAGGGGATCTTCCCAACCCAAGGATCAAACCCAGGTCTCCCACATTGCAGGCAGATTCTTTACCATCTGAGTCACTAGGGAAGCCCATATAATTTATATATTTATATAAATATATTATATTAACTATATATATATATGTTCTTTTTCAGATTCTTTTCCATCACAGGTTATGACAAGATATTGAATACAGTTCCTTGTGCAATAGAGTTGTTGTTTCTATGGTTTATCAGCAAAGTCGTATGCAAGCTCATGGACTGCAGCCTTCCAGGCTCCTTTACCCATGGGAAATCCAAGGCAAGAATACTGGAGTGGGTTGGCATTTTCTTCCCCAGGGTTCATCCTAACCCAGGGATCAAATCTCCATCTCCTGCATTAACTGGCAGATTCTTTAACACTGAGCCACCTGGAAAGCCCCATGCTGTAGAGTATGTACTTGCTATTCATCCATTTTATATATGAGTGTGTGCTAAGTTGCTTCAGTCTTGTCCACCTATTTGCAACCCCATGGACTGTAGCCCCACCAGCCTCCTCTGTCCATGGGATTCTCCAGGAGTAAGTTGCCATGCCCTCCTCCAAGGGATCTTCCCAACCCAGGGAACAAACCTACATCTCTTAAGTCTCCTGCACTGGCAGGTGGGTTCTTTACCACTAGTGCCACCTGGGAAGCCCGTTTTACATATAGTAGTGTTTATCTGTTAATCCCAAACTCCACTCCCCCTGACCCCTTTGGTAAACATATATTAGTTTTCTATGTCTTTAAGTCCGTTTCTGTTTTGTAAATAAGTTCATTTGTATCATTTTTTAGATTCCACATATAAATGATATCATGTGATACTTATCACTCTCTCTCTGAATTACTTTACTTAGTATTATAGTTTCTATGGTCATCCAAGTGCTGCAAATGGCATTATTTTATTGTTTTATATTTCTAATATTCCATTGTGTGAGTATATATATGTTGCGTTTAGTCACAAAGTCGTGTCCAACTCTTTGCAACCTCATGGACTCTAACACACCAGGTTCCTATGTCCTAGACTGTCTCCTAGAGTTTGCCCAGGTTATTGTCCATTGACTCAATCATACCATCCAGCCATCTCATCCACTGCTGCCGCCTTCTCCTTTTGCCTTTGGTCTTTCCCAGCATCAGGGTCTTTTCCAATGAGTCTGCTCTTCGCATCAGGTGGCCAAAATATTGGAGCTTCAACATCAGTCCTTCCAACAAATATTCAGGGTTGATTTCCTCTAGAATTGACTAGTTTGATCTCTTTGTTGTCCAAGGGATGCTCAAGAGTCTTCTCCAGCATCACATTTCAAAAGTATCAGTTCTTCAGCACTCAGACTTCTTTATGGTCCAACTCTTACATTCATACATAACTACTGGAAAAACCATAGCTTTGACTATATGGACCTTTGTTGGCAAAGTGATGTCTCTGCTTTTTAATACACTGTCTTATAGCTTTCCTTCCAAAGAAAATTAATTTCATGGCTGCAATCACAATCTGCAGTGATTTTTGAGCCCAAGAAAATAAAATCTGCTCGTGCTACCAATTTCTCCCTTTCTATGTGCCAGGAAGTGCTGGGACCAGATGCCATGATCTTAGTTTTTGAATGTTGAGTTTCAAGTCAGCTTTCTCACTCTTCACTTTGACACTCATGAAGAGATTCCTTATTTCCTCTTCCCTTTCTACCAATAAAAAGGTATCATCTGTTTATCAGAGGTTGTTGCCTTTTCTCCCAACAATCTTGAATCCAGCTTGTGATTCATCCAGCCTGACATTTCACATCATATATTCTGCATAGAAATTAAATACACAGGGTAACATTATGCAGACTTGTACTCCTTTCCTAATTTGGAACCAGTCAGTTGTTGCATGTCTGCTTCTAACTGTTGCTTCTTGACCTGCATACAGGTTTCTGAGGAAACAGGCAAGGTGGTCTGGTATTCAGTTTGTTGTGATCCACACAGTCAAAGGATTTAGCATAGTCAATGAAGCAGATGTTTTTCTGGAATTTCCTTGCTTTCTCCATTATCCATTGAATGTTGGCAACTTGATCTCTAGTTCCTCTCCCTCTTTGAAACCCAGCTTATACATTTCGAAGTTCTCAGTTCACATACTGCTGAAGCATAGCTTGAAGGATTTTGAGCATGTCTTCTTGCTGACATGTGAAATGAGCACAATTGTACAGTAGTTTGAACATTCTTTGATGTTGCCCTTCTTTGGGATTGGAATGAAAACTGGCCTTTTCCAATCTTATGTCCATTGCTGAGTTTTCCAAATTTGTTGATGTATTAAGTGCAGCACTTTAATGGCATCGTCTTTAGGATTTTAAATAGCTCAGCTGGAATTCCATCACCTCCACTAGCTTTGTACATAGTAATGCCTCCTAAGGCTCACTTAACTTCACACTCCAGGATGTCTGGCTCTAGGTGATTGACTACACCATCGTGGTTATCCAGGTCATTAAGACATTTCTTGTATAGTTCTGTGTATTCTTGCTACCTCTTTTTAATCTCCTCTGTTTCTGTTAGGTCCTTACCATTTCTGTCCTTTATGGTGTCCATCCATACATGATATTTCCCTTGATATCTCCAATTTTCTTGAAAAGATCTCTAGTATTTCCCATTCTATTATTTTCCTCTATTTCTTTGCATTTTTCATTTAAGAAGGCCTTCATATCTGTCCTTGCTATTCTCTGGAACTCTGCATTCAGGTATATCTTTCCCTTTCTCCCTTGCCTTTTGCCTCTCTTTTTTCTTCAGCTATTTGTAAAGCCTCCTCAGACAACCACTTTGCCTTATTGCATTTCTTTTTCTTGGGGATGGTTTTGGTCACTGCTCCCTGTACAATGTTACAAACCTCGGCCCATAGTTCTTTAAGCACTCTATCTACCAGATCTAATCCCTTGAATCTATTTATCATCCCCACTGAATAATCATAAGGGATTTGATTTAGGTCATACCTGAATGGCCTAGTGGTTTTCCCTACTTACTTCATTTTAAGCCTGACTTTTTCAATAAGGATCTCATGATCTGAGCCACAGCCAGCTTCAAGTCTTCTGTCTACTGACTGTATAGAGTTTCCCCATTGTATATATGTACACACACCACATCTTTATTCATCTCTCAGTGGGCACTTAGGTTGCTTCTATGTCTTTGATATTGTAAATAGTTCTACTATGAACATTGGAGTGTATGCACCTTTTTGAATTAGAGTTTTCTGGATATATGCCCAAGAGTGGGATTGCTGGATCATATGGTAAACCCATTCTTAATTTTTTAAGGAGCCTGTATTATGTTGTGCTGTGTGTATTAGTCACTCAGTCATGTCTGACTCTTTTCAACACCATGGACTGTAGCCCACCAGGATCCTCTGTCCACAGAATTCTCCAAGCAAGAATACTGGATTAGGTTGCCATTTCCTTCTCCAGGGTATCTTCCCTACCCAGAGTCAAACCCAGGCCTCCTGAATTGCAGGAAGATTCTTTACCATCTAAAGCCCATGATTGCACTATTTTCCCACCAATAGGGTAGGAGAGTTCCCTTTTCTCCACACACTCTCCAGTATTTACTACTTGTAGACTTTTTAATGATTGTCATTCTGACTGGTGTGAGGTGAAACTTAAATATGGTTTTGATTTGCATTTCTCTGATAATTAGTAATGTTAAGTACCTTTTCATGTTCCTGATGAACACTTGTACATCTTCTTTGGAGAACTGTCTCTTTAGGTTTTTTTGGTTAGGTTGTTTGTTTTTTATATTGAGCTGTATTAATTGCTTCTATAATTTGGAAATTAATCAGTAAATCATTTGCAAATATTTTCTCCCATTCAGCAAGTTACCTTTTTTTGGTTTATGATTTTCTTTATTGTGCAAAACTTTTGAGTTCAATCAGGTCTCATTTGTTTATTTTTGCTTTTATTTCCATTACTCTAGGAGATGGATTGAAAAAAATATTGTTGCAATTTATGTTAAAATATGTTCTACTTATGTTTTCCTCTAAGAGTTTCATAGTATCCGGCCTGACATTTAGATCTTTTTTTAAAAAAATTATGTTTATTAGTTGGAGGCTAATTACTTAACAATATTGTAGTGGTTTTTGCCATACATTGACATGAATCAGCCATGGATTTACATGTGTTCCCCATCCTGATCCCCCCTCCCACCTCCCTCCCCATCCCATCCCTCTGGGTTTTCCCAGTGCACCAGGTCTGAGCACTTGTCTCATGCATCCAGCCTGGGCTGGTGATCTGTTTCACCCTTGATAGTA